ATATTCTGCCGGCAGGTTTCTACATTTGAAGTTAATTTAGGCGTTAATAAACTGTTTCAGAGGAGTGATCATAGCGCTCTGCATCAGCAGTGCTGCCTCTGACTCCCTGCCAGCTCCCAGATCTGCTTCTCTCATTGGTTGATGAGGCGTCCAGCAGCTAAAGGTACATTTTTCCAACTCCAGCAGCTGCTGCTAATGAAGCGCCTCAGATGCTCAGAAGCTTATGAGGCTCCTGCTGCTCAGATGCTGCCTTATGGAAATATGTCAAAAGAATGATTGACAGTTAAGATGACCACTGATCGTCCTCTATACCTTTAAGAAAACTGTTCTACAGACCATCCTGTCTCTGAGGAACAGGAGAATCTCAGAGTTAAATCCATTCTCACAACCCTCCATGTTCTCATGGAAAACATTGTTTTTATCTTTTACTCCTCGACATGCGGCAGTCGCTGCCTGGTCGGACGATGAGCTGCAGAGAAATAGCACAGAGACGTTGTGATGAAGCTGGACATTAATGCTAACGCTTTCTAGCAGAGCGTAGCTGCAGATCTTATAGCTGGTAGCGTTTCACTGACTCCTGATTCATGGATGTGTCCAACAGTGATGTGAGGATTAAGTAGAACCAGGTGGAGCTGATTTAATGTCACTCTGCATGTATCTATAGCAGCAGCTTCTACACCAGCAGATCAACAGGAAGGGCGGCTCTATTCCAGGAAGTCCTCTGGAGATGATTTCACCTTCATGAAGATTATGGAGCGCAGAGAGCAGCCTCAGTCAGAGGCTTTGTAGAGGCACTGCAGACAGACCTCTGCAGGAGATCCTTCCTGCCTACAGCTTCTAAAGAGCTTCATGGTGGAACTGAATGAAGCTGCTAGCTGATGCCTTCAGGCCTGAACGGGAAATATGAATCCACACAACTTCCCATCAGATCATTTTCCCAATCCTGATAACTGCTCAGACCAAAACAGAAGGAGCGCAGATGACTGGATGTTTTGTCCCGTCACCATCAGCAGCAGGTCACCCAGCACACCCTGAGGTGATGGACGGGTGAGGAGGGGGGGGCAGCAGGCCACAAAGGTATCTACTGTTGGAGGAGGGCTTCCCAGGAAATGAGGGCATTTGTCTTTAAGGAGGAGATCAGATGGCATGGCATCTTCTGGCCTGTCAGAGCCACTGGAACAGGACAGGAACTACACAAGGCTCCTTTATGGGGCCCGGGGTAATTGTGGGGTATAGGTTACTGGGGGGGCATCAGTAAAGGAATGAATAGGTATGAACAGGTGCCTGCTCATTTAGATGACTGCTCAGGTATGAAGGGAAGGAAGGAGGCAGAGGCTGCAGGGAGACGGCGCCTCTGGATAAACGCCTGAGAGTTGACGGTTTAAATCCCTTCCAGATTCTTCTGGCCGCCCCGTCTCTGGGAACAATGACGGGGGGGGAGCCCCTTCTCGCCTCAGGGTGCTGCTGCCACTACTAAAGAGCTGCTGGGTCACCTGGACAAGGGGCCACTTTGTTAGTGTCTCTAACAGGTGGAGGCCTGAAGACAGCGGTGAGAAGGAGCGGCTACAGGAGACGGCGGCTGGTGTCGCTTACGGCTTTAATGAAGCTAACAGGCTGGAAGCACATGGAGATTAAACCATAAACCACCCAGAACCCATTCCATGATTCAGCATTTCCATTAGGAAGCACAGGCCTCCATGATGATGACATCAGCATCATGTCTGATTGATGTTCAGTGGAAAACGGCAGATTACTGAGGGAATATTTAAGATCAGGACCAACCAGATTACTGAGGGAATATTTAAGATCAGGACCAACCAGATTACTGAGGGAATATTTAAGATCAGGACCAACCAGATTACTGAGGGAATATTTAA